CCTTTAACGTGTTGTAAGTTGTAACTTTCCACTATCTTCACTTCCTACTTACAAGGAGAAACTCCAATTTTAGTGGACATATATATTTTCAAAATCACTATCTACCATAAAAAATATTCACTCTGTTTTCACTCTATTTTTGTTTTTCAATAGCCTTCTCTCTCCTTGATTTTTTTTTTTATCAATCGCTCCTCTTGATCTTAAGTATTAACTACAAACATACTCTTCTACTACTTTTTTCGTTTCTTATTGAATCCATATTTACCATTTCAACGATATACCAACGAGCAATTTTGAACTCACTATTTTTTTTTAAAACATACATCATCACATGTTCGTTTCACATTCTATAAAGAAACTAAACTATCGTCTGTTGCTTCTCCACTTTTCAAGTAGAATTATTTGTTTTCCATCAGAATCATCATTTTTGCAATCTCAGGTTGTAACTAATATTTAAGTTTCTAAAAAAACTAATATTATCTTTTTAATACTATATATGTTACCTTTTTCTATTTCTATATTCGCTTACAATGCTTACAAACTTTTCATTTGATCATGAGTGACAACAATAATGCATATGCAAGCACCCAAAGTAACCAATGGAAGGTTAAGAGCACAAAAGAGAACCATGCAAACGGAATGTGTCATGCAAAAGTTGTTATTAATGAGGTGAATTCTCTACTTTCAATTTACGAAATATTCATGTTTATTTTTATCACAGAAATTTCGGTTCCCTTTCATCATATTTCTTTCCAATGTTGCAAAGAAAATTTCATATCGTTAAAAAATTTCAATTTTTAATTGAGTATTTGTTATACATACGTAATGTAAATTTTATTTTTTAAATATTTTTACAGAAATACGTTTTTTTAAAAGAACAATTATTATCTTCGATATTAACTTATTTCCTTGAATTTCCTTGAATTTTTTTTTTGTAGAAAGAAAGATAGAAAAGCAATGAAATTTGAGATATCAGTTGCCACATTCCTTCAACAAAATAACGGAGTACGTACAAAGACGATAAGTGATTATATGTTTGATGACTTGAAAATTGAAACAAATCAATAATGGAGGCGCCACACCTCCATTAGAACATATTGATTATATGTTTTTATTTTGTACAATTAAATTATTTTATCAATCTGTTATCAAAATACACTTCATTGTATAATTTTCTTAATTTCAAATATATAGTTACATTTTTCTGTTTATCTAAATATAATGTGTTTGATGACCAAAAATTATTTTTTAATAAATATTAACAAACTTTTACTTTAAAATATTTATGATTTAAATTAAATTATTAAGATACTAATAACATAACAAATATCATAAAAACAAAGTTATCACAGTTACAGCCCATGCGTTTTAAACTAGTTTATATAATAAAAGAGTAGTCAGGAGAAAAAGAAATATGTTGATGTGTCAAGTCGAACACTATTCAAAGAAGCATAAATCGTATCATATAAGATGTGTAAATTTTACTTTTTAAAATAAAGATACGTATACAAATACACTTATTTTTATCAATATATTTATGAGTTCTTTATAATTAGATAATATCATAAAGAAACTATCATGACAAGAAAACTCTATGAAAATGAAAATATTTGATCTACATACATTTTTTTTTTTGACGTGATCTACATAAATATATATTGGTACTTTCCGATTCAAAAAAATAAAAAATGTATAAACAAAATGTATATAAGCGAAAAACATATAATAATATATTTATTATTAATATTCAAACTTTGGCGAGACAATCGAAATCATCTCTTCGTGACAAAACAAACAATATGTTTATTGGTTCATTGATGTTTTAGGTATACTATTGCTC